CAAACAATACCTCTGTTAATTACAAAGAAATTAAAAATATATGAACATTCGAATATAAAAAACGTACCGGCAAAATAACTCAGCAAGGCTACGCACACTCTGGAATAAACCAGTTCAATATTGTATACTAATGACTCGCAAACGCCGATACAGTCAATAAGTCGTGAAAATGTGAGCTCGGATGTCAAAAAAACAAAATCCAATAATGTTTATGAAAACATGCATATGATTGAAGAAATATTGTTTTATCGATCACTGCTGGCTGTACATATATAACAATGATTGGTGAATGTAACCAAGATATCGTAATACAACTAGCCTTCAACATAATATTCCCACTGTTTCGCAGTTTCGCATTCATCGAATTGAACGCGTGTTCATAAATAAATAACATAATCCCATACTTTTGTTTGTATGGACGTGTAAGATTTCTTTTAACAAGCAATTATTTTTTTTTCAATTTTGTAAGATGTAGGCACTTTATTCTAGTGCCCTTATTATATAACGCTAACATCAACTGCAAGTCGATATAAGAACCCGCAAAATTAAATCAGTCATTTTGATATATAATCTTGCTCATTGTGAAGAGCTGAGAAATAGGTAGCCAGCAGGCTCGTTCGACTGTTAACGATTAGTCAAAATACCCGCAGGTCAGATGAAAAAAATTATCGAGAATAGATCGTAGTCTTGTAGATTGTCTAAAGAGCTGTTATAATGGCCAAAATTGTGGGTGTGATATCATACTTGTTTGCGGTTATTGTGATATTATAAAGATACAGTTTTGCTACTAAAAATCGCGGTATAAAAAACTTACACATGGAACATGTTTCGAGACATATTAGCTAATACATTGACGAATAATTATAATAATGGTACACTTTTAGTTCAATATCTAGAAGTTGTAATTATCGTAATTCCATTTTCGTCTTCCATCCATTCGTGTAAATATTACCACCACTAAGAGCAAATATTATTTGTCTAGCTATTTGGCTAGCTACAGTTGAATCGAACACATGGAGGAAAAAAGTTCTACTTAAGAAAAAAACTATTTTTAAAACTCTGCTATTCAGCATGATTGTTCATGAACACAGAGCTAGAGGTGCTTGTTATTTCTGAACCGTGACGGCTATGAGTAGAATGCACTTTTAAAGATTGGTTTAGAAATTGGAGACGAAACTTTAAAACAAACATTGAAACACAAGTATTACGTGTTATTCAACAAATGTTTCTGCAGTACCCATCCTTTCTCTAGACTTTTAAAAATACAATGCAGTGAATAATAATTAAAAATTGAGATTCCCAAATTTTGTATTCGTGGGGGTAGTTTATTTTATGTCGATTGGGTGGGTAATAATAATATTAATAATAATAAATGAATCTAAAACCTTTGATAAATCAAGGCTAGGAGCGCCTAGCTAAAAAGGCAGTAGGACTACATTGCCCACAAGTGATAGCCGTTATATCGTAACGCCACCATAATACATGCATCTATCTACCCCAATCTCTTACAATGACATCCGATGAGTGAACTAACTTTAATATAACTTTAAAATAAACATACGCGTTAGTTTAACTTTATTTGGTTTATTTGGTCTTGAACTTGTGGAGTTGATTACACTTTTCGCTACATGTACATATCATATAATATTTCGTGAAGTGTGTTGAAACACTGACTGCACTTGCAGTTGTGATATCAACTTTCTGAATTTATTTCACCAATTTACGAAATGGATAGCAGGCGTCATCTTTGATCGTGCACGATGTAAGTAAAACAATTACAAATTCCTCACCCCTGTGAGTAATCCAAACATTTAGGAATGTTAACGTTGTTTTGGTGAACATAGCTAGGCTATGCCATGGTGTACTAAACTGTTCTGTTCTATGCCGTGCAGTGATTTACTGTTGTGGTATGGTATACTGTTCAAGAACCACCGAGGAGTTCCTGGCTTAAATTGGACGAGGGCGTATATCTGAGTCCATTTTTAAACCAAGAAACTCCGAGAAGAGTTGGTTCTTTATCTCAAACCATGATATTAATTAATCTATTCTATTTTATATCGAACGGAGATTTATAGAATATACTTGCCCAATTTAGTACCAGTCGTTGTTTGTATTTACGTAATGTACGGGGGTGATTATTGTTGTTGTATAAATGTGTTACGTAACTGTTTTTCGTTCAGATGAGCAATAAAGTGTGAGCATAAAATAAAAACGACCAAGATGTGCATGGCACGGCATGGCACACCCAATCACGAGCACTTTCTGCATTCCCCTGCATTCTTTTAATATTAAGTAGGAAGTTAATACATTTGTATCATATGGGAATCAACCTTGTTATGAAACTTCAGTAAGAAGTATTAGAACTCATGTCGGGTATTCTGGCCTTACTAGCTGGGTATTGCCCCAGACAATTACCGCACAATACAACAGTGTGACGTCATGGTCGTGGTTTAAATGATGTGATGCGACTGTTATATTCTATCCTATCCTATTGTATGATGTGTGGTGTTATGTTGTGTTGTGTTGTGTTGTGTTGTGTTGTGTTGTGTTGTGTTGTGCTGTGTTGTGCAGTTCTGTTTTGTGTTGTGTTGTGTTGTGTTGTGCTGTAGTGTGTTGTGCTGTGCTGTAGTGTGTTCCGGGAGTGTGTTGTGCTGTGCTGTAGTGTAGTGTGTTGTGCTGTGCTGTTGTGTTGTGTTGTAATGTGTTGTGCTGTGCTGTGCTGTGCTGTTGTGTTGTGTTGTGCTGTGCTGTGCTTTGTGTGCTGTGTGCTGTGATGTGTTGTGTTGTGCTGTGTTGTGTTGTATTGTGTTGTGCTGTGATGTGATGTGTTGTGCTGTGCTGTGCTGTAGTGTGTTGTGCTGTGCTGTGCTGTGTTGTGTTGTGTTGTGTTGTGTTGTGTTGTGTTGTGTTGTGTTGTGTTGTGTTGTGTTGTGTTGTGTTGTGTTGTGTTGTGTTGTGTTGTGCTGCGATGTGCTGCGTTATACTATGTGATGTTATCCTAGGTAGATGACGTAGCTGTCAATGTATGTAGCTAGTCATTGAAAATACGGACGTTGAAAACACTACCAGCATGCTAGCAATAAAACAGGTTTCAAATTTAGAAGAAAATTGTAAAAAATATTGCTGAATAACCAAAAATCTCGTATTTTGGATGTGATTCAAGGCATCATAATGGTATATATGACACATTGAAGGTTTCCCAGTAACCCATACTGTGGCCACTTTTATTTACTTTGTTGGCAATAATTATTCGTGTATATAGCGCGGTTCGTATTGGGTTGAGTTGAATTGATGAATGGATACACAGGTTGCCGGGTTACCGAAGAATGTTTTCCGAGACCTATGCGACGGCGAAAACGGCAATCGATTCTGAAAATTGAGCTATAAAAGCGGTCAGCTCTATATGCTTAATATACCGTGTAGTGTTAGTGAATCAAATAGCTGTGGAACAGTGAGTACATATTTAATAGCATATCAATTCAAAACGTCCGATCGAGTCGTCGCGTGCACTGCATTGTGGGTCCCATGCGGCGCATGAGTGGACATTGTTCGACGGCTGTGTCGCTTTAACTACACTGAAACTCGACACTCGAATAGCCCCCCCCCCATATACATACAAACCCATGCACTATTCGGCGTCGTCATTTTGTCATACAGTTTTAAATAGTTCGACCTGTCTGTTAAAAAATACACATTACAATACAGTACATTGGTTTGATTACTTTAACTAAAACACTGGGACGGTTAGCAAAATGGCTCAACCCTTTTCGCTTTTCGCCCGGGAAACGTTTTGTCAATTTACATGGTAAAAGCATATTTCTGCAGTTCAATTCTTACACGTTTTATTGAAAACAAATCATTTATATTTTCTTCTGAACATCCTTTTAATATATTTTTGGGATCAAATAGTTTTTGCTCGATCTTCGCGCTAAAATTTACTGTATACTTAAATGTTTATGTTCGATACTTACTATTATATCAAATCATGATCGATTCACTTCAATGAATACATGAGAAAGATAGCGACTAAATCTAAATCGAAATTACCTAATTTTGTTCAGTAATTATTATGCACACACGTGAGTTCGACTTAGTTTTCAATAACCTGAATGCATCAAAAGCTGCATCGGCACGTTTTCTTCACAGCTCGAAATTAAATGAATTTTTATAGAACGTATTTTCCACAGTCAAATCCGCTCCCCCGCCATCAACGCACTGTGATGCTAGACTGTCTCGTTTTGACACGGCATCGTGATTGGTCAGGTTGATTTCAAACTCGTCCGACGAACCGCTACGACACACACGTGGTCTCTTCTTGTTCGATTTGTAAAAGTAAGCAGCGGTCGCTATGACAACAATCGCAATTGCTACAACCGTCACAGCTATTCCCACTACTATTTTATTGCTGCTGTGCATTTTGGGATTTTGCTGAAACGACTTTTTATTGAAACCGTCCGTAACGTCGTTTTCTGTATACGCCGTCGCCTGGGCTGAAAATGAAGAAGACTTTCCGCTGACTGCCGGTGGCGTTCTGGGCATGGAGGTAAAACGGTCGATTTCTTCGGACACCGAATGAACATTGGGGTTGTCGAATTCCACCGTTGTAAAATCATCGACAACATCAAGCGTGGCTCCCTCTGTCGACGAGGAAATGAATGTAGTCGTTTTTACTGCGGTTGGTGGCGCACTATCCGATTTATGACTATTGCTTGAGGTGTACATATTTGTTGTTTCTTTTATTGACTGCTGTGTCCCTGTGTCGTGATTTCTGATGACACTATTGAAGAAGTCTCAGCTGCTACCGTTGTATCGACCATTGTATTGGTAGTGACAGTAGTAACAATATCTTTAGTGGTTTGTAATACTACTGTCGGTGGAAATTCGGTCGTTGACAACGGCGTAGAACTGGAAGTTTTTAATCCCGCTGTAGTCGTCACTACAAAAACATAACAAAGCGTTCGAGTTAGTGACATTTTATCTGGTATATTTTTTGGTTCAGCATAATAAAAAACAAATACATATGTAGTGCATGTCGTTTGAGGGCGCTGCTTACCATCGAAACTTATATTGTTACCAGCATGCGAAAAATAGATATGCCTCTCGAAGCTATTACTCAAATATATTTGTCCTTCTAGCCAAAGAGGTGGAGCTAATAGAACACGGTAACCACTGCGAATGTACGGCTACCATGGCAACATCCAGCGAGTACGTGAAGGATGAGTGTTCACTGAATTGCAGGGAATGTGACAATGTGTAAACAATACCGCAGCATGCACGCGACGGAAACACGCCCTCAAGTATTGTTGATGATTGGGATCCACCTTCGAATTTGGAATAATGAAATTGAATGCTTCAATTTGTATTTGAACGGCGATAAAATCATGTGATTAGGTTCCTGTATTCTAATTTAAACACTAGTCACCAAGTAGAACGTAGCATCGTTATCATACATGACACTTATTGTGCGCCGACGCCGGTACATGTACCTCTGTTTAAAGCGGGAGCGTCGTCACCTGCGCACGCGCGGGAATTGAGTCTTAAGCGATGATAACAACACACGCTAAAATTGCAAAGGCTCATGGGTAGACGCATGTTTGTAAACAATGACACGCTATGGACATCTGACGCGTGCGCAGGTGACGACTCCCCTGCTTTAAAGGGGGAGTAATAAACAAACAAATGTATTTTAAACGCGTTGTGTGCTCGCTATTAGTCCCATGTCGAACAGGACCCGGCGCGACGACTACAGCCCTTTGAGCCTTGCATTTGGGTTCAATTTTAATGTTCTTACGCCATATTCAATAAAATGTTGCGCAGATAGTCGATCAAGAACATTTATTAAAAAAATATGGGAATATTATTAAATTCTTCATTAACTATGTATTTGTTCAAGAAATAACATGTACGCACCTTGTTGTTCGCACTGGTTCACCAGTGAAGCCATCTGCACATAAGCAATTGTAACTGTTCAGAGAGTCGACGCAGGTGGCGCCATTCTGGCAAGGATCGCTGTTACACTCGTCAATCTCTGTAGACATTTAAAATAAATTGGAGGATATTAGAATTGTTTCAATTGTTTGAAATAGAAAACGCCAGTATGCTTAAGAATTACCTGC